AAAAGTTTAGAACAATGAAAGTTAAATAAATAAATAAATGTATATACTTCAATATCCAGTTTATTAGCAATATTTACATCAAATTATACAAAATTTATTATAGTTATGAATTAAGTTAAGAAAGTTGCCCTAGTTAATCTAAGTGGGACAACTTTCTTGATAATTTAGTGTTGTTTTTGAAGAAAGTGTATTATTTCTCACCTTGCAAAAAAGTAGTCTGCAAGTAATATGAAAATGTATAATTTTTGATGTTACAGCAATTCTGTGTTTGACATTGTCACATCCCATTTACTTATCTGCTAGCCAGGAATCTACCAATAGACTTGTAATGATACTCGCATAAATATCACTATTAGTACTAGATTCGAGGCTGGATGCTATGCACTCTTCTGTCAACTGGAGTGAATTAAACAATTGGTTTGTTGGTTATAATAGATAACCACATATCTTAATATCTGTGATCAAAGTGCACAAAATAAAGGAGTTTTCTTCATCAATGAGAATGTGAACTTTTCAATTTTTTATCTTCTCAACCAGTTTATCTAGTAACCATGCCAGTATATCTGTCAACTCTACCTGTAGTCACTGTAGCATCAATGCTACCACTGCCATATTTATACATGAATTACATTAAAACATTTCTCACAGTTGATCTGACAAATAAAAAGCATATGGATCTTCTTTTCTTCTCTATGAAATGATACATATTTTATTAAAATGTAAGACTGACATGAGAATACCCTCCCTTGTTAGTAGCCCCAAATGCCTTTGTATAACCTTGACATTTATATAGCTGATAATATTGAATTTCTTGTGGTAAAATTTGTGATTTTTAACTTATTTTGTAGAAAGATAGCTCTACTAGTACCTCTATATATATGCATAAGTATGGTTCAGAGTATTTCCGTCCAGAATTTCAGGAGACAAAGTTACATGCCAATAGTTTAGAGGGCATTCAAATATACGGTAATCCGGATTGGAGTATGAGTAACCTGAAATTTTGAGTCTTGTTCCTAACCACCAATCGATGATTCAGTCCCATCTTAATTATTAAAATTGAAGCTAACCACACAGCCCATAGCATGTTGATATTGTAGCAATAATCTGTTTAAATTTTTTCTATTATACTACAAGGCAAAAATTTTCTGTATTTTACTTCAGAATAAGGCCTATTTATAATTTTTTTATAATCATTATTACAAATAAATGTATAAAGAATTCAGTTATGCATAATGTGGCCTTTCCTACAAATTTCATCTGTAAGTTTCTTCTTTTAAAATGTGTTTTCTAGTGTTTTGTATTTATGATCTGGTCTTGTATACCAATTATATTAATAAACCCTCCCCAAAGAGGCATCTCAAGCTAGTCAGCAGTTTGATGCAGTTCTATCAACATAATCCTAGCCAAGATCATAAGGATGCCTATCTTGGAGCTCCTGCATCCAAGACTGCCTGATGCTGTCTGAGTATTTCATATAAAATCCAGATCAGCACTGTAAAACTTAATGGTATACTGTTTTTGTTTGCAAAAATTACAAATACGTTTTTAGAAGAAAAATTCTTACAATATTTGTATTTGTTGTGAGGATTTACAAAATCTGTGTGGCCTCATCTTCCCTCTTTACAAGGAAGACAGACTTTCTATGGACAATTGAGGGTTGGCATTGTTATAGTTGTCTGTGTGTCCAATGCATAACTCCAAATTAATGCATTTGTACTGAGCTGACATGTATGTTGATTGCTTTAAATATGTATTTTGCATTCATCTTTGTTGTTAGTAAATTGAATATCAAACTCAGCTTCCTTTTAACTAAATAAAACATTTAACACCTTATAACACTGAGAATATTTATTAAATCACAAACGTTTTCAGCCTAATGGAATAGGCCATCATCAGGTGAGGTGACAGGCTATCGAACAAATTTGAAAATTGTGCTAAAATGAAACTTTCGAACATTATAAATTCAAAATTAAAACGTAAAATAAATTAGCCAACCAATATACAAAATAACTATAATAAATACATTGAAGCCATATTAATATAAATAATAAAATAAGGCAATATAAAAAACAAAAACAAATCTAAAAGAGTTTGTTATTAGTATAGAGTTTCATCTAACATTGTATTCTTTTGCTATTACTTGTTTTATCTGTGTGTATTCTGTGGGTTTGGTCTGTAAGAATCCTAAATACCTTTAGCCTTGGCCCTTATCGATGATTCAATGATATCACCATTTCAGAATACAAAATCATTTTTCTTTGTGAAATGTTCTGCATTTGTTTAAGCCAAACTCCATTTGAATGTAGTAGAATAAGTGTATGTAATGTCTGATAGGTGATTTAGCTGTGCTTATGTGGACATGTAGAGTTTTATGTTGTCCATGTACAAGAGTTCAGATATATAGTATGTTATTATGTTTAACATTGTATCCTTATTTAATGTTGTTTAGCCTATTGGACACTAGGCTCGAGGCCAACAAAACTATGCTTTAATCAATCTTGCTGGAAAATGCTTTGTCTTATGTGTATTTTGTTTGTTTTAATGAATGTATCATGAAGTCTGAGGTGTAGTGTTTTTATTCAATATTGCATTGTGTTTTTTAGAAATATTATGAGTCTTGGTTGTATATCCCTATTTACTTATCATTTATTTACCTCTTGAGAACTTCCGAAAACATCTGAAGAACTATGGGGTAAATTTTTTAAATTCTAAATTAGATACAAAGTATAAATCAAAGTATCTTTTAAAAATGAATTAATAAAAACTTTTAGTAACAGTTGCATAAAACTGTGCTATCAGTATATTTTGCATGTACAATTTATATATGCATTCAAATAAATTTAAGAAAATATTAGGTCTGGTCAATAATACAAAATTAAAAAATTATAAAAAATATTTTAGAGTTTAAAACTTTGCATATGTCTGTAGTGTGAATTTAGAGTCTTAAAGTGATCACAAAAAATCTTAAAAGCCACAAAGTCTATGAACCTCAGATAGAAAAATTATCATCATTAAACAGAGTATTTGTTTCTGTTATAATCACTTATTAAACAAGTAGAAATAAACCAAAATCCAGCATAAAAATGTAAGACAACTAATGTTTTTGCACACGTTAAATGGGAATCTTCAGGCAAATATGATCCTGGAAATAGAACACCTCATCAAGGGCATGGATGAATTACACAAGGAAACATGTGAAAAACCATTTTTACTCTTGGGCACAATCTCACTGTCAAGACCAACTCAATTATCTGTTAAGCAGTTAGCTTAAAGATGCCCATTTAACATGGGTGAAAACATGAGCTGTATTACATTTTTGTGCTGGATATTGGTTTATTTAAATTTGTTTATTAAGTACTGTAAAACTAGTTTTGAGTGGATGTTTATAATCACATTATTTTCTTTTCACTTATACAGAATTTACTGTTATTTTCTTGATATAACTTTAAAGTAAAATCTGTAAGCATAAAAAGAAAGTGATAGAAAAAAAAAGGTCTTGTGAAACTTTGTATAAGTTCTAGTTTACTGCACATAGAATTATCTGTAGGCATTTTTTTAATTACTCAAAATAAATATTTGACCCACCCTCTGAAAAAGGTTTACCATCACTAGTTTATATATTGAAAATAGATGTGATAATTGATTTTGGTATTTTACAGATTGTTATTTCCACTTTATCTAAAAATTCTGTCAGTATATACCAGGGATGGGTGAACCTTTTTGAGTCTGCATGGCATATATATTTATCTTTAAAAGTGTTTGTGTGTTGTTTTAAACTTAAAATAATGATACAGTAGTGCCTCGTATAACGTACTTAATCCGTTCCAGGTGCACGTCCGTTAAGTGAAAAGTCCGTTATACGAAATGCATTTTTCCATAGAAATACGTGTTAAAACATATAATTCGTTCCACAGCATAAAATAACCGTACTGTACCATAAAAAAATGAAAATGGAGCAGTCACCAATTATGCCAGGTAGTCAGATGTCGTGAGGAGGAGGTGGAGGAACACTTTCTTTACACATTCATACAGATACAGACTTTGTACACATTTCAGCAGGTCTCTTTTTAATGTTTTTTAATCGGAGTCCGATTCAGGAGAGGCTACCAGAGCTTGCAGGAGAGGCTACCAGAGCTTGCAAAAAACAAAGGATGGAACAAGAGATCTCCTCTTGTTCCATCCTTTGTTTTTTGGCAGCATGCTTCTTGAAAAAATGTCCAAGGTGGTCTGTTTCTCTCTTCTTCAAGACCTGTCAGAAATGACGGGCAAGGGTGTCATTGTAGAGATCATTGATCCTGTTGGCCTGAGCTCTGTTTGGATAATGAGTAACTCCTTAACCTCTCCCCATTTGACAAGAAACTTTTTGTCAACTTTCACTCCTTCTGATGATGTCTTACTTTGTTTCAATTGAAATCAACTTTCTGTGTTTTTAGAAGCCATGATTTGCACAACACTTGAATAAATGTAAATACCCTGCACTGAGGTGATGTATGTAATAAATAAGGGAGCAAGCCAAATCCCAACGGGAGCGCTGTACTTCAGATATAATAATAATATATTATAAAAAAGCAGATTGTCCTTGGCAACGGCAAAAGAGTGGAAACATCATTCGCACTTGTTCGCAGAAAGACCATTGTTTGCCTCACATAACTGCCAAACGGAAAGTCCGTTGTTCCAGTCATGTAACAGCCAAACAGAAAGTCCGTTGTTCGCAGCGTCCGTTATTCGAGGTGTATGTTATACGAGGCACCACTGTATTTATAGAAATGAAATAAATATGCTTCAATTAAAATGAATGTAGAGGCTAATTGAAAAAAAAAAAAAAAAAAAGGTGATCAGATGATAAACAGAAAGGATAATTGAAAAACATGACTGATAAAATTAAACAGTTTGCTACATTACGAACCAGATAATTTGTCCTGACATACCACTTTGGGCACAAGTGGTATATACAATAATTTGAATATATTTACATGATATTCCTATCATATACATAGCATTTAAAAAAAAAAGACTTTTAAGCTTGTTACTTCAATTTATTATTATTTTTTATCTAAAATACACTCAATATTTAGTGTCAATATAATCATTTCAATTACTTTAGAATTAACTCATAACTATGATTATTAGAAATTTTCGATCATATTACATTTAACATTTATTTGTTTTAACAATAACTACTTGACAGTTGAACCAATTTGTTGCTGTTCTTGAAGTTTTTTCATTAATTCATCATCCTGCATAGACATGGTGGTCAATTTCTTTCCTATTCGTTCATGAATTTCTAAATATTTTGCAACACATCTATCTAAACATACAGACTCTCCTTTAGATAGTTCTGCATCTTTATATTTAGGTGGAACACATTTCTTGTGACAGGCAGTAGTCATGCGATTATACATATCTGACATCATTTCAATTTCTAATTCAGCTACAAGTTGCATTTTGGAAGGATCTAATTGAGGAATTCCTACCGGAGTTGTGGCCATTGTTTACTCAAAATTTCTTCAGAGATTAACAGTGTAAAAGTCTCTGTTTATATGTTGAATAGTCTTTACCTTGAGAATCGTGGACTGGGATCGTAAGAACCTTGATTTGCCTTTCTCATACGTTCTCTAACTTTCATAGCTTGGAAACGATTTTTAACAATATCATTCTTTGCCACAAAAAAGCCTCCTATTCCAGTTAAAGAAATAATAACCCTAAAAAATATCAATAAAAATATAATGAAATAAATTTTTAGTTTTCTTTTAAATTAATTACAAAAGTATAAAACCAAATATTTAGAATTTTTATGAGAAATTATCTAATTAAAATTTATACATATAAACATTATTAGATGATATAAATTCAAAACTAAGTATAGTAGATTTTCATTAGCTTCAACTCCTGGGATTGTCTTTGGACCTGACTTTAACAAATAGATAACCTTAGCAAGTATTATGCAATTTTAGCTTCAAAGAATGTTACATTGCATAGATATGATAGAAATTGCAGCCTTACAACAAACTATTATTTTCAGGTATATAAATCTGCTATTGAGTATTTGAAAAAGATTAGAATCTTCTATTATCTTTTCCTTGATAAAACTTAAGTTTCTTTCAGTATAATTCACATTTTGACATTTTCATAAATTAAATGTTTTATTAGAAAATTTAGTTCTTTATAAGCTATTTATAAAATCTTTAAATATTTTTTGTATAGATATTTGTACAGAAAGATATTTATCCAAAATTATAAATATTCTATTACAGTATTTACTCACATATAAGAAGAGGTTTTTATTAATTTTTCATAGCTTCAAAATCCTAGGTTGTCCTATATGTGTGAGTGAAGGATTCTTTGCATTTTTGTAATAATTTTTATGAACCATGTATAGTTCATGCTGCCATTATGGCAGGATGCTATCGAGGTCAAGGTGAATGTCATTTTCAAAGAGATGGTCCGAAAATAGCTGGTCACTTAGCAATGATTATAAATGTAATTATTTCATATTTAATTACGTACCTCAAAGCCTGTTACTGGTATGAAATTAACATCAAAGAATGAAAAAACAGACTTCCACAAACCCTTGAACCCTTAACGGTTCTTCTTGAGGTGGCAACAAATTTCTGTTAGAATGCCAATAGATAAGAACATTGAAATTCGAACACATGCTACCTGATGACGTCTCATTTAGACATGCACACTATAGATGGTAGCAATTAACGAGAATTTTTACAGTTCTTTGTCCATTAGTGCTTTTCCATGCTATGGACAAATTTAATTCCTGTTTGTGGTTGATACAGGTGTTGCTGAGGCTGCATTTGTAGATATAAATGGCCTCCAACCACTTCAGATGTTCCGTGTATGGTGTCGTGAGGATGATTCTCTCCTGGTTAAAATTCAGCTCTATGTCAGGATCACTGGCGTAAATGGCCAGAACAGTGGTGGTCCTGGTGCACTGTATGTCTGTGATGTGCTCTTTCATTCTAAACCCAAAGAGCGTTTCGTAGAGCCGATGTAAATGAGTTCTCTATTGCATCTGTGATCTTTAATTGTGATGTTGTAAACTCCACGGAGTCTGTCCATGTTAGGAATGTCCTTTCCATTACACAGGATGTCAAATATGGTTGGATATCTTTTTTCGTTCTTTGATGTTAATTTCACACTGGTGACAGGCTTTGAAGTACGTAATTAACTATATTCCGATGTTGAGGAGTAGTGTGGATTTGTATTTCATATTTGTTAAATTGGTATTTTTAATGAATATTTGCACATTTTGAATCATTAAAAATAAACTTTTTCCAGTCATGTGAATTATAATCTTTTAGTTTTGCTATGTGGGTATCAGGTGCTTGGAAAAGCATTCCTCAAGAGCTGATAGCAAAGTTATCCAGGAAATACTGCATTTAAAATTCACTCGATGGATCAGAGGATGATGCTTTGTGGAGTGAGAGTGAAAAAGAGAAGAGTTGTAACAAAGCTTTGAAGGGCGAGTCCGAATAGACAAAAGGTGACAGCATCAAGAAAACATGGTTGTTTGCCTTAATACATGCATTTGATATTTTATTTGTGATTAAATGAAATAAATTTAGAATTGTATTAATAAATCTAATTTTTTTTATTTTGATCTTTAATTTAAAGTCACACCTCATCCTATATGCAAGTAAATAAAGACTTGTTTTTTTTAACATTACATTGTTATCTTTAAATTCATTTTTAAAAGCTACATTACACATGTCAAAGGCATAAAAGTAATATGCAAAGGACAGACATCTTTAATGCAGAAAGTTATTGAAAATAAAACAGTTCTGAATATAATCTCTTATTAAATAAGCCAATACATCTGAATTTGAAAAATCATTTTGTCTATTTTTATAAATTAAATGTAGCCTACCAGTACTGTATTTAATATTTCTACTAATGCTGAGTGATATCACTTTCAATGTATCTTATGCTTTGTTTATTCATAGGACTTCAGAAAAATCTGACTTTACTTAAACATGACATCCCATGACAAAAATGTAAAAATAATTAGCTTTTCAGTAACATCACATATGTTTTTTAAAGAAATGTGTCACCACCACACCATCTCTTCCCATAGTAAAAAACTCATATATAAAAACCTTTAAAAATTAGGCTTCCTAGAGCAAGAACCATACAAAAAATTCCAACTTGTACTGTTTCCAATATATGTAAAAAAATAATAATTTTTCAATAGCACTTAAACATTCCTTTTATCTAGAAAACTAAGCATTTTGGGATAATAGCTTTTTTTTCTTAACTTACTGGATTCAACACCTATGAAACAAATATGAGGAACACTGGTGAATAGGTTGAAAATGTTTTTATGGTACGGTATTAAACTACTGCTGGAAATCAAAAGGTGTGTTTCCTTATCTAATTAAGCTTATTTTTTGATTTTCTATCACCTCCCAAAGTTCGATCAGTTTTATCATTATCATCTTGCATAAGGAATTCTCCACATTTCCTAAAGGATTTCATTATATTATATGAAATCTATGGAGTCTTAACTGTATTTGTAAATAACAAATAATAAATAATTTTTTTTATATATGACATCTCTTTACTCCAAAAAAAACTTGTTTGATAGATGATCTTACAGCTTTCTGGTTAGAAACAGCTTTATTTTACAAACTGGACTATAAATGTATTTTGGGTTGGTTTAAGTCCCCTCTTCAGTGTACTGTACAAAAAAACAGCTCACCAGTGAGAGTTGAGTCATTGGTTCGCACCTCGCTCGGACAGACTGGCCATGTGGAGTTTTCTGGGTTTTCTCCACATCTGTAACGCCTAAAATAGGGGCCAGTTTCCCTTAGAATAACCTCCCAGAAGGCATCTCCCTAGGCAGATCGCCCAAGTGTTGCATTGCCATAAATTAAACAACAAAAAAAAACAATAATATAATTAGGGCATGACATTACTCAGATATCGCAAAAAACATTTTTTACACTATGTAACAAACCATTTACATATTAATAAGGACATAAATTAAATTTTCTATTTCTACAATTGTATCTTCCATGAATATACACATTTTTAAAACTCCACTATTTTACATAAAAAAATAGTGTAGGAGTTTTCAGAGTTTTCAAGGATGTAGTTTAAACATTTGGTCCATTTACACAAAATTGATTGGTTGGCCAATTACCATTTGATATTCATAGGAAACGGTACATTAGGAAAAATTTGGATGTCTTGAATAATTTCTCATGCAGGCTAAAGTCAATGATTATTTCTTGTTGAAAAACATCAATTACTAATCTACCTGATCAACAAAATTGGGCTCTTCCACACCAGCCAAGTATTGTATTCTCAGCATGCACAAAACATGTATCTGGGATTTTCCAGGAGATAAGCTGATGCATTTGCCTCAAAATCTGATTGTTCATGAGGTTAATAAGGTCAATTTCTTTTTCTTTTTTGAAGTAGATTTTTGTCATTTTTATTCTGTTTTGTTACATTTTCATTTTTCTTATTATATACTATTTAATACACTGTGATAAGCATGATAATGTTAGACTAAGATAACCAAACTCTTAATAGTTTTCATTTTAATGTTTGTTGTTACTTTTTGTCCATGCAGTGTTGGGAAAATCTGTTAGCTTTCAAATATTCAACATATGAAACACACTATAAAGTATTTTAAATGTTATAGCATTTTCAAAATACCAGTATTTATATGTGCATTTAAATATCTGTTTGACACAGTGCCATAATATTAATTTGTATATTCTTACTACATTTATACACATTAAGAATTTCATTGTATTATATTTACATGTTCTGTCTCATTAGCTTTTTAATTTTATTCTTGATTTCTTAAACAGAGCTATTGAGAGGGGAAGCTGGAGATTTTTCCCCAGTCCTGGTGGAGGAATCCACGGTGGTTCATTACTATGAAATTAATGTTATTTTTACTAACAGAAAAATGTATCTTTAAGACTGCTTTTTATTAATAAAGAAATATTCTATTGTATTTAATTTGTTCAAAAAAACGAGCCAGAAAAGCCCAAGGTAGAGAGAGTGAGTGGAAAACTCTCAACAACACTGTTCATAAATGAAGTAATGAAATTTTAATCATTAATAAAATTTTTTTTCCTGTTAAAAACTGATTTATACAAAAATCACATGATGTATTTAGCAAAATGGCAACACATTCATTGATCAAAACTTCAAAAAGACACTGTAATTTATGTAATCAAACTCAAAAATTAAGAAATAATAAATTTATATATTCAATAAGCAAGGCAGGATGGCAAAAGCATACTAACTATGCTGAAGTAGCTAAATGGAACTGCAAGGAATATAAAAAATAATTATGAAATCATTTATGCGCTGTAGGATTACAAATGTATGCATTGATGGCAATTCTATAGACACGTAGGCCTCTCATTCAAATTCAGAAAAGCTTTTAGAATAAGGTGAAATAGATGACAAATTAGTCGACTAACCCGATAACAGTAAAACCGATGTCGCCAACGACGAATCCGAGTGAAAGATACAGGTATTAGTTAAAAGATAATGTAAGCAACTGTATTCAATAATTTCTGAATTTTCTTAAGGTATAAATAAGCTGCTGTAATAGTATTTTTGTTTTTATTTTTTTAAATGTATGTATTGTATTTT